AGGGGGGAAGAAGGGTGATTCACATATGAATGGTAATAATTTCCTCAAGAATCCTGGTTTAACAGACACACCAATGTTTCAGACTCCTCAGTGCAAGGCCATGAAGATAGAGTGCTTTGGAGTAAAAGGACAGAAGTACCCCCTCACCTCCAGGAGCATGTGGATGAAAGGTTTCAAAGTTGAACCCAAAGGCAGGCTGCACAGTGACACATGAAAGGCTATAGAGTTGTAAATGGAAGCCCTTCGGTCTTGCAAATGCTAATGGACTGTGCAACCAACAGTGCCTTTCCCCCCACAGCTTAGTGAGGGCGGGAGGGAGGATTAGCATTTTTTATAGTATTAATATTGTGTGAGTAACAGCTGTCCTCCTGTTAGCTTCTACAGGCATATGACTGAAACGTGATAGATATTATCAAGATGTGTGTATTTGGCAAGAGAATGAAATAATTCTAGTTTTGGGTCACCCATCCTAGTTTCATGTCAAGGTTTTTGTATCAGCATGAGTTTCGTTTCAGCAAGGTAATAGCGTAACTGGAGAAATCCTGTGTATCAGCAACAGATTCTCCACAGCTCCAGCTGTCAGCAGAACAAGAGTTCGGAAGTTTACACTGCATGTGAGTGAGTGATGAAAAATTTTGTGCCAGCCCGTGCCCCAGCTAACACGAGCCTGTTACTGTTTAACCCAGTAGTCAGCTAAGCCCCACACAGCCTCTCACTCAGTCCCCCCTGCAGTGGGCTGGGGGAGAGACTTGGAAGGGTAGAAGTGAGAAAACTTGTGGGTTGAGATAAAGACAGTTTAACAGGTAAAGCAAAAGCCGTGCGCGCAAGCCAAGCAAAGTAAGGAATTCATTCGCTACTTCCCATCGGCAGCCATTTCCAGGAAAGTGGGGCTCCATCATGTGTAACGGTTACTAGAGAAGACAGGTGCCATAACTCCCAACGTCCTCCCCCTTCCTTCTTCTTCCCCCAGCTTTATATGCTGAGCATGACGTCGTATGGTGTGGAATATCCCTTTGGTCAGTTGGGGTCAGCTGTCCTGGCTGTGTCCCCTCCCAGCTTCTTGTGCACCCCCAGCCTACTCGCTGGAGGGGTGGGGTGAGAAGCAGAAAAGGCCTTGACTCTGTGTAAGCACTGCTCAGCAATAACCAAAACGTCCCTGTATTACCAACACTGTTTTCAGCACAAATACAAAACACAGCCCCATACTAGCTATTATGAAGAAAATTAACTCTATCCCAGCCAAAACCAGGAGACCTGTGTTAGCTGAAACAGGGCTATGGCGTGGCTTCGGCAGTATTATAGCAGGCTGCAGCAGAGCTTTGTAGTTGGGCACCATTTTAACTGGTGATGTGAAACAGCAGAACTGTCGTTGCCAAAGAGGAGTTGTGCATTTATATTTAATCGAAAGACTTCTATGGTTGCATTTTGTTTATGGCATGAGGATGAAAAACTTGCTAACTTTACAATTGTGCATTTTAAATGGACTTCTAAAGACTGAGTTAAACCTTTTAATTAGAAATTTGGGCAATTTGCTTGTTCTTCATATTTGGATTTAATTCTGGAAAGGATTACAGGTTTGGATTATAGAAGCTAACGAGCAATTTTGTTTTTTAATTCTTAAAAGCTGTGAACCACTGAGTAATTAAAAAATCTTTTTTCCTTTTTGCTTTGTTTAATACAGAAAAGCTTTTCAGTAAGTCCTCTCTTGTAATATTTTGACGTCTCTTTATTTTCAGGTCTTACGTTAGTGTCTGCACCTCACCTGGCTCGGTCTTACCATCACTTGTTTCCTTTGGATGCCTTTCAGGAAGTTCCTCTGGAAGAATATCAGGGGGAACGGTATGCAAATCATATTTGAGAGAATGAGTGTACTTGTGGACCCTGTAATTTTTTTGTTGCGGAAGTAAGAATAGCTGGCAGCAGCTTCTTTGCTGCTGGAGACACTGTTGAATGTTTGGGCATTTCGGGGCACCTCTGGCAATAAGAAATATTTGTAGTTCCCATTAACTGTTATCCTGTGTGTTCAGTTGAATAGCTGAAATAATTGCCATAAATCGTTACTATGTGTGAGATGTTTCTTAAACACCGTTTTACAGAATCTTGGCTTTTTTTCAGTTAAAATACACAATTTTGCTTTTAGGTATTGTCAAGGCTGCCAGGGAGAAATGAAAGACCAAAATGTAAGTATGTTGAACGGCATTGGAATTTGCGTTGAGGGTTGTCGGAAGTAGAGATGATCCTTTAGTATAGTCTTCTAAAGACCAGAAAAATATTTGTAGAAGTTTATCTCATGGTTAGCTAGAGTTCTTTGTTATAGAGTCACGCCTTTTAGGCTGCAAAGTTTATAAAAGTGTGGGAAGGGATTTCCTAGAGAGTTGCATAAATAAGCTTCCACTCTTAGCCATTTGGAAGCATCTACAGTGACTCGAGCTCAGCCCTTTAGAAACTTTAATTCAGTTGGGTTTCTGTGATGTTAGCAATATAGTCTATTCACACTGTCTTGATGTGTAACTGATGCCCTACTGTAGTGCTATGATTTTTTTTCTAATCTGACTTGTTTTTCTCTCTTTTCCACACAGGTTTACATATGTAAAGTGTGTCAGAATGCATTTTGTGTGGAATGCGATTTGTTTGTTCATGATTCTCTGCACTGCTGCCCTGGCTGTATTCACGAGCACCCTGCTCCCATATCTGTATGATGTCATCTCTTTTAGAAATTGTCGTATCTATGTCATTCTTGCATAAATCTATTTTGTTTATTCAACCATAGCTTTCACTGAGGCACCTCAAAACAAGAAATGACCTAGATGATTATAGAAGGATGAGCACTGGCTTGGGGGCAAACTTAATTTTTACCTAATGTATTAATGATTCTGTTGCTGTTAATATATTCTTGAATTATCTGTATCTGATTTATTATCTTTGTTCTTGTCTGAAAAGCTCTGGCTTTCTCTGAATGTTATTGTGAGTAACATGTATATTTGTAAATGTGAAAGTGATAAAACTGGTTTGTATGATAATGTGGTGATTCATCTTTGTTTCATTGTTTGTTCAGAAAAGAAGCCCTGAAAATACATTTTATATATCAGTTGTTATAAGGTCTTGTTCTTGGTGTATGGTGGAGTTCTAGAGATCAAAATATTTTTGTAAGAATTTAATGAAGATGTTTTTGAGCAGTTAGTTGGGGGACATTTCAAATACTAATTTCAAGTATTGTGGCTATTCACCTTGGCCTTCAGTAAGGCAACTCAGACACAGCTGTTACAAACGTGCTGAAAACACGTTTTGGGTTTTAGTGGTACAGCCCAAAACTAACTGAATTCTATTACTGCTGTGTCTGTAGTTGTGTGGTTTAAGTTTCACTTTCTTGTAGGAGTGTAAGGGTACTGAAAGGCAATGAATTTGCAAAGGTGTAAGACCTGAGTTTATACAAACTATTGTTTGATGGTCACAGCATTGAAGATGGTGATGCTGTTGTGATTCTGGGCTAGAATGAATTGCCAGAACTGCAAGTCATCTCCTCTCCTTGGCTAAACCCCCAGAGCAACAGACAATAAGGTGGGGGGAGAAGGGGAAGCATGTGTCCTTAGCTGAACATTGAAGAATGGAAATTGAGACAAATGCATGACACCCTCTGCCATTTTAGAGTGGCTGTTCAGAGTGTGAGTGCAATTTGAACTTGTGAGAATGTAATGTGCTACACCTCAGTAGAAGGAGATTGTGATGGTGCAGTGTCTAAAGCAGTATGTCGCGTCTGGTTTTCTGAAGTCGTGATGTTTGTAATACATCAGCGACTGAGCTACTCTGGACGTATCTGACTTAATTTTTAAAATTGTGAGCTTTGTTGTCAGATTAGGAACAGCAATCATCTAACCTAACCGCCGAATCTTAAAAGTGCAAACAAAAGCCTTATCTTAAGTTGGTTCCCTGTTTTTGACACTCACCACATACAAACAATACATGCTACTTTTCAGTTTTCACAGGCAGTTTTCATTTAAAGTCCTTTCAATATGCAAATTCTCAATTGTTAACATAGCTCCTTCTGTGCTTTTTCTACTATTTATGCCTGCAGGCTGGCTAGAATGGAGTAATTCTACTGTGTTGGCAGAAAAATCACTGCTTTGGCATCTGTGCTTCATTTTGTGCTGAGTCAAACAATCCCTGTAAACCCTTTGTGCTATCAGGTGGTTGCGGTGCCTGTTGCTGTGAGGGTGTCCTAAAAGCTAACAGAAAAAGGACATACTCATGGGTTTTGGTGTGGTCTGGTAGGCCA